ATAATCTCATATTTTGAGATTTAATTTCAATACCCCTTTAACCCCCCTACGGAAAATAAATAAATGAATGCAAGAGAAAAATATAGATCCGAAAATCGCTGAATCGGGAATCGAACCCGAGACCTTTCGCTTGCCGGGCGACTGCTCTTCCAGCTGAGCTATTCAGATCCTTTCGATTCTATACTTTTCTCTGTTATATATATTAATGTTGGTAAACAAACGCATTTTTTAAGCCAGCGTGTATCAAATATAAGAGTTTTAACAAGGCTCTGTAATATAAATATAAATTTAACGTATAAGACGGGCAACAAGAGCCAAATCGCGGATGACAATGCGTTATCCTAACGAAACTAAATAATTTTTCGTTAGAATTAAATACCGGTGCACAAGGCACCAAATTTTTACTTGGACACGGCCAAGATTAATACGGCAAAATATGATTATTTCATATTTAAAATCTTGGCCGTGTCCAAGTAAAAATTTGGTGCCTTGTGCACCGGTATTTAATTCTAACGAAAATTATTTAGTTTCGTTAGGATAACGCATTGTCATCCGCGATTTGGCTCTTGTTGCCCGTCTTATACGTTAAATTTATATTTATATTACAGAGCCTTGTTAAAACTCTTATATTTGATACACGCTGGCTTAAAAAATGCGTTTGTTTACCAACATTAATATATATAACAGAGAAAAGTATAGAATCGAAAGGATCTGAATAGCTCAGCTGGAAGAGCAGTCGCCCGGCAAGCGAAAGGTCTCGGGTTCGATTCCCGATTCAGCGATTTTCGGATCTATATTTTTCTCTTGCATTCATTTATTTATTTTCCGTAGGGGGGTTAAAGGGGTATTGAAATTAAATCTCAAAATATGAGATTATTTCATATTTAAAATCTTGGCCGTGTCCAAGTAAAAATTTGGTGCCTTGTGCACCGGTATTTAATTCTAACGAAAAATTATTTAGTTTCGTTAGGATAACGCATTGTCATCCGCGATTTGGCTCTTGTTGCCCGTCTTATACGTTAAATTTATATTTATATTACAGAGCCTTGTTAAAACTCTTATATTTGATACACGCTGGCTTAAAAAATGCGTTTGTTTACCAACATTAATATATATAACAGAGAAAAGTATAGAATCGAAAGGATCTGAATAGCTCAGCTGGAAGAGCAGTCGCCCGGCAAGTGAAAGGTCTCGGGTTCGATTCCCGATTCAGCGATTTTCGGATCTATATTTTTCTCTTGCATTCATTTATTTATTTTCCGTAGGGGGGTTAAAGGGGTATTGAAATTAAATCTCAAAATATGAGATTATTTCATATTTAAAATCTTGGCCGTGTCCAAGTAAAAATTTGGTGCCTTGTGCACCGGTATTTAATTCTAACGAAAAATTATTTAGTTTCGTTAGGATAACGCATTGTCATCCGCGATTTGGCTCTTGTTGCCCGTCTTATACGTTAAATTTATATTTATATTACAGAGCCTTGTTAAAACTCTTATATTTGATACACGCTGGCTTAAAAAATGCGTTTGTTTACCAACATTAATATATATAACAGAGAAAAGTATAGAATCGAAAGGATCTGAATAGCTCAGCTGGAAGAGCAGTCGCCCGGCAAGTGAAAGGTCTCGGGTTCGATTCCCGATTCAGCGATTTTCGGATCTATATTTTTCTCTTGCATTCATTTATTTATTTTCCGTAGGGGGGTTAAAGGGGTATTGAAATTAAATCTCAAAATATGAGATTATTTCATATTTAAAATCTTGGCCGTGTCCAAGTAAAAATTTGGTGCCTTGTGCACCGGTATTTAATTCTAACGAAAAATTATTTAGTTTCGTTAGGATAACGCATTGTCATCCGCGATTTGGCTCTTGTTGCCCGTCTTATACGTTAAATTTATATTTATATTACAGAGCCTTGTTAAAACTCTTATATTTGATACACGCTGGCTTAAAAAATGCGTTTGTTTACCAACATTAATATATATAACAGAGAAAAGTATAGAATCGAAAGGATCTGAATAGCTCAGCTGGAAGAGCAGTCGCCCGGCAAGTGAAAGGTCTCGGGTTCGATTCCCGATTCAGCGATTTTCGGATCTATATTTTTCTCTTGCATTCATTTATTTATTTTCCGTAGGGGGGTTAAAGGGGTATTGAAATTAAATCTCAAAATATGAGATTATTTCATATTTAAAATCTTGGCCGTGTCCAAGTAAAAATTTGGTGCCTTGTGCACCGGTATTTAATTCTAACGAAAAATTATTTAGTTTCGTTAGGATAACGCATTGTCATCCGCGATTTGGCTCTTGTTGCCCGTCTTATACGTTAAATTTATATTTATATTACAGAGCCTTGTTAAAACTCTTATATTTGATACACGCTGGCTTAAAAAATGCGTTTGTTTACCAACATTAATATATATAACAGAGAAAAGTATAGAATCGAAAGGATCTGAATAGCTCAGCTGGAAGAGCAGTCGCCCGGCAAGTGAAAGGTCTCGGGTTCGATTCCCGATTCAGCGATTTTCGGATCTATATTTTTCTCTTGCATTCATTTATTTATTTTCCGTAGGGGGGTTAAAGGGGTATTGAAATTAAATCTCAAAATATGAGATTATTTCATATTTAAAATCTTGGCCGTGTCCAAGTAAAAATTTGGTGCCTTGTGCACCGGTATTTAATTCTAACGAAAAATTATTTAGTTTCGTTAGGATAACGCATTGTCATCCGCGATTTGGCTCTTGTTGCCCGTCTTATACGTTAAATTTATATTTATATTACAGAGCCTTGTTAAAACTCTTATATTTGATACACGCTGGCTTAAAAAATGCGTTTGTTTACCAACATTAATATATATAACAGAGAAAAGTATAGAATCGAAAGGATCTGAATAGCTCAGCTGGAAGAGCAGTCGCCCGGCAAGTGAAAGGTCTCGGGTTCGATTCCCGATTCAGCGATTTTCGGATCTATATTTTTCTCTTGCATTCATTTATTTATTTTCCGTAGGGGGGTTAAAGGGGTATTGAAATTAAATCTCAAAATATGAGATTATTTCATATTTAAAATCTTGGCCGTGTCCAAGTAAAAATTTGGTGCCTTGTGCACCGGTATTTAATTCTAACGAAAAATTATTTAGTTTCGTTAGGATAACGCATTGTCATCCGCGATTTGGCTCTTGTTGCCCGTCTTATACGTTAAATTTATATTTATATTACAGAGCCTTGTTAAAACTCTTATATTTGATACACGCTGGCTTAAAAAATGCGTTTGTTTACCAACATTAATATATATAACAGAGAAAAGTATAGAATCGAAAGGATCTGAATAGCTCAGCTGGAAGAGCAGTCGCCCGGCAAGTGAAAGGTCTCGGGTTCGATTCCCGATTCAGCGATTTTCGGATCTATATTTTTCTCTTGCATTCATTTATTTATTTTCCGTAGGGGGGTTAAAGGGGTATTGAAATTAAATCTCAAAATATGAGATTATTTCATATTTAAAATCTTGGCCGTGTCCAAGTAAAAATTTGGTGCCTTGTGCACCGGTATTTAATTCTAACGAAAAATTATTTAGTTTCGTTAGGATAACGCATTGTCATCCGCGATTTGGCTCTTGTTGCCCGTCTTATACGTTAAATTTATATTTATATTACAGAGCCTTGTTAAAACTCTTATATTTGATACACGCTGGCTTAAAAAATGCGTTTGTTTACCAACATTAATATATATAACAGAGAAAAGTATAGAATCGAAAGGATCTGAATAGCTCAGCTGGAAGAGCAGTCGCCCGGCAAGTGAAAGGTCTCGGGTTCGATTCCCGATTCAGCGATTTTCGGATCTATATTTTTCTCTTGCATTCATTTATTTATTTTCCGTAGGGGGGTTAAAGGGGTATTGAAATTAAATCTCAAAATATGAGATTATTTCATATTTAAAATCTTGGCCGTGTCCAAGTAAAAATTGGTGCCTTGTGCACCGGTATTTAATTCTAACGAAAAATTATTTAGTTTCGTTAGGATAACGCATTGTCATCCGCGATTTGGCTCTTGTTGCCCGTCTTATACGTTAAATTTATATTGTTTTTTATCTTCAATATCGTGATGACCTATATAAAAGAAAATCGTACAAATAGCATTTCTCGATGCATTAATTGTTATTATCGGAATCAGATCGCTTTGTTTTTATATTATTGTACTAAATATATAACGCCATTAAGTATTTCATTACATATAGAGGATGTCCTGAAATTCGCGAATTGTTACCTGTTAATGGTAGGTTTCTGGGATCATCATTCATATTTTTTCTCAGCGAAAATGTCGAGAGAAGCCATCATTTTTTGCATGTTCTCAATTTTTGCCATCATGTATCTTTGTAACTAAGTTTTAAATTAAAATTTTATTAAAATAAACTTTATTTGAAATTAATTGAAGAATGTGGTTTTGTTAATATTTTATTTCTACAAAGCTTAGTTTGCGAAAAACCATTTATTTTCAAGCGCTTATAACTCGAAAATTATTGATGTTTCGACATTTTTGTTGAGGAAAAATCATCCAGACAACAAAACGTCTAAAATCGGGACATAAGACGTCTTAAAGAAGTCATTAAGATGTATTTTAGACATCACATTAAAATATGTCTTTAAGACATCAATAAGATATCTTTAAGACGTTTTATGTCCCGTTTTTAGACGTTATTTGGGCATCTTCAAATAATATGAAGAATTTTCTATAAACAGGTTATTCACGAATTTCGAGACACCCTATATATTTTTGTTTAATGTGAGACAGTTTCCATATGATTTAGGGGTAGGCATGATTGATTATTACATTTTTTATATTTTTTATGGGTACTAATTATCTTAAAATTAAAGCAAATCTGGGAAAATAAATGTCATATTCGGAATCAGCGACACAAAGTTACCTTAAAATCGATCTAATATAATTGGCAATAAAATCAGTGTTGACCAGTGCTATCTATATTTTTCCCATCTAATTTAACATTTATGTTACATTGTCAGGTATAAGTACGAAGGTGGCCAATTCGTTGCATCGGTAGATCTAACGCCCGGCCCCTCCGAAGTACATGCGATTTTGGCCGTCGATTCGCGTAGAGGCAAAGTTTATTACCTCGGCACGGCGCCGGGTGAACCGACCCAGAGGAATTTGTATTCGGTGCCTCTGGATGCGAGCCAGAAACCAACTTGCATATCCTGCGAGCTGCTTACGCCGGAAGGTGAGTACTCGAAATCACAAATGTCGCAGAAACGATCGGAGAAAGAGAGAGAGAGAGGGAGAACGCGATGTCGCATTTTTCTCATCAATTTAATATTGAGCTTGCACTATATTCCAAATGTGGTAATCTTTTCTCACGAGAACGTTTAATAATATCGGAATATTTTATTTAAAATAGCATCTCGCGAAATATTTATTTGTTGCATACAGAGTGGGAAAAAGTCCCGTAGTCCTGAATATTTCTGAAGGAGTGACATATAGAAATCTTAAATATACTCTACAATTATCTTTTCTTTGCACCAATTAATTTATCTCATTATTTTGTGTATAAAAGGATTAAGATGAGATCATCCAAAAATGAATATTTTACGAGATATCTATCACAGTTTATGTAAGATGATATTAAATTAAAATATAAAATATCTCGAAAACTATATACTTTTTTACTCTTATAACTTTTTATGCAGAATATTGCGAGGAATTAATTTATGTAAAAAATATAGTGATTTTATTTTAAAAATTTAAGTTGTCCTTGAAATGACCTTTAAATTTGACCTCTAGAGTTCAGGTCAATTAAGGTCAAGGTCACCATCAAGTGCCTCACTTTGAATCCTATTACTTTTGTATATTTGATATTATTTTCTATATACTCCACTCCATCCGAGATATTTCAGGGGTTCGGAACTATTTTCCCATCCTATATATACGCAAGAAATGCACGGTAATTATCGTATATATTTTTTAATGTCCGATCGTTCATTTTTGTTTAAATTTCGCGTTTGATTCTCAAAACGAGACCGAAAAGTGTTCAAGTGGGTAACGTAAGTGATGAAGAAATTTTGGAACGTATATTGTCGACAGCATTTGTAACTCATAACTTTGTATAGGCACAGAATAGGTACATGTTCCAATTAAAACGGAAAAGTCCATCGGGAGTAATCTCAATTCTGACGAAGACTGCGAGTTCATGAATATTTAACGCATATGTATATATATATATATGTGCATAAATGTATACATATATAGTGTCGGGAAGATTTAAGTTCACGAAACTTTCAAATGCGAGTGTAATTTAAGGAACCCCTACGCTTACTTCGAAAATTGCCGCGATTCTCTTCCCAGTATTTTTACAGCGCGCGTTGGATGCATCAAAAGTCCGCAAATTCAAATGAGAATTTTCAAATTTTTCTGCATGAACTTGGCACGAACTTATTTCTTCATTGCTATGCGAGAAGGTTCGAAGGACTTCGACTTAATGCGCAAGACGTCGCATGAGACGCAAGACTGAAATATATTACTTTTCGTATAAGTTTTTCCGGCTATTGGCGGCAGCTGCGTTTCTCTGTACTATCGTGAGGGAAATTAATTTGCTGGACTATTTACGCTGAAAAATCTACGTCTACGGGAGATCTGTTACGCTCGCCCAATGTCGGCTATATCCGTTAAAATATGATGTTTATTGAAATTTATTGCTACTAGTAAAAAATATTACAGAAAGTACAGAAATTTATATTTCTCCCCCGTTTTCCTTTGACAGAATTTATGTCATGTCAGTAAATAGAATTTTGTGCACGTTTTGCTTACATTAGTTTACAATATTACGTATACAGGGTGTTTCTAAATAAGTGCAAAAAATAGAAGATGATTGTTTGTCGAAAGTTAAGGAGCGTTTTTCATATAAAGTCCTATATCTCTCTTCGAGGAGTTTATACACTCCTCTATAAAGGAGAAGATGAACAATAGATTTTTATTTTTTTCTTGAAAACTAGAACACAAGCACGCCATTCTTCGATTTTATATTGAAAAAATTGATATATAATATTAAAAAAAATAATATAAAAAAAATATAAAATTTGTTTAAACCCGATTAATTTAATCGGGAGATTAATCCAAAATAATTTTTTGACAGTAATCAGCTGATTAAACCGTTAACTTGTTGATTAAATTTTAAAATAAAATTATATTAGAAAAATTAAAACAATAATGTCGTAAATAATAAGCTATAATACTTTAAACTCGAATAATATTTTTTGACAGATATCAGCTGGTAACTGTCAAAAATTTTAATCGAGTTTAAAATATTATGACATATTATTTTAATTTTTATAACATATTATTATTTTAAAATTTAATTAGCAAATAAACACTTAATCAGTTTATTTTTTTCTGTAAAGAAATATCAATAAAGCGTTAATTTGCTAAATAAATTTTTAAAAAAATATATAAATTAAAATAGTAATATGTTGTCGTACTTTATTTTCAATTAATATTTTTTTAAAGAAATCAGCTGATAACTGTCAAAAAATATTAATCAAGTTTATGGTATTATAACGTATTATAATTTAAACGATTTAAATTGTTGTAGGAAATAAATGCACGTATGCGAGTGCATCTTTTTCAAGCCTCAGATCATATTACGCTCTCACTTGTTCCGGGCCTGATCCATCTACGGTAATAATTAACGACGAAAATCATCAGCCGGTCTTGACTTGGAATTGTAATCCATCGATAAGGAAACTTTTGTCACGACGATTAATGCCGCAACAAAGGGATTTCAACGTTACTGTAAACGGTTATGACTCTAGAGTCAGATTGTTACTGCCACCGGATTTCGATGAAAATAAATCTTACCCTTTATTAGTATATATGTAAGTATATTCTGATTTTTATGACTCTTTTAACCTTTTAATGCCTGACGTGCCATATTTGGCACGTTCACTTTAGATTATTCTTAAAACGCATCAATCTATAATTTTAATTTTTTTATCGCGTCCGTTCAATTAATCAATCCCAAATAAAGTTGTAAATATTTAAAAATCTCTCTCTGTGCCGTTCGAAATCGCCAGTAATCCAATATAGCGGCAGCATTCTTGAATTCGAAATCTGAGTCTCGGACTTAAAGGGTTAAAGGGTTAAAGTAAAATTGCGGTTATTTCACGCAGAGAAAAATTTTTTTTATTAAAATGTAAAAATAATCAAATTTTCAAACGTATTTATATATTATTTTATATTATAGAAAAATCTATTTAAATGAGAAATTAAAGTTAATTTATTGTGTCAAATATGTATAATTCAAATATTATGTATATTTAACATATGTTATTATATCATATAATGTAGCATATATAGAGATTTGAAAAAAATTATAATGTTACGTAAAAAATAATTAATCTTGAAAAAAGCAATGTCTTCGTAAAAATGAGAGCGACATTAACGTTTAACCAGGACAATGCCAGCCTGTATACATATGTATATATCGCTAATAGCGACTACAGGCATATGCTATGATTGATCGGCATGCGAAGGGATTCGCAATCTCCATTTAAAATTAGAGTCACCTTTGATCGTGTCTGTGTTTGTTCGATCGATTCATGTCAAAGCTTTCGGAACGATCAATTACCCTTAATGACCCTTACTCATTTTCTCTTCCTTTTTAAAAAGTATTTGCCACGTGTCGAGCGCTTAACTTACTTATGCTATTCATTTGTAGCACAAAATTGAATCAATTGACCTGTATAATTTATTGTAAATAAGTTATGCTATAATATAAATTATAAATGTAAAATTATGTTTCTGTAAAATTACGTAAAATTAAAAAAATAAATTAAAAATAAAAAAAACGGAAAATTAAAGAAACAAAGTTGTGTGTGTATTTAAAAATATAAAAAATCTAGCTTTTATATAAAATAATCATTTATTTCGCAGTTACGGCGGTCCAAATACAGCTAGGATCATTGATAGTGCTAAATACGAGTATGAATATTATTTAACAACTAACAAACGCATAATCTACGCATGGGTCGACGCACGAGGATCAGCTTTCAAGGGCAGCAAGATGCTCTTCGAGATATACAGGAATTTAGGAACCGTGGAGATCGAAGATACGATCGCTGTTGTCGCGTGAGTAATTTGAGTATATTGTTGATAAATTACTCTATTACTTCATATTTTACAGCAAGCATCGTTGTAAATATTTTTCGTCATGTTTCAGAGCTCTGCTAAAACAACATAAATGGATTGACGCGAAAAAAACTGGAATTTGGGGCTGGAGTTATGGTGGTTTTAGCAGCAGCATGGTACTCGCGACAGATACAGCCTCCGTGTTCAAGTGCGCTATATCAGTTGCACCCGTAACTTCGTGGATCTATTACGGTAATTAGTAACAGATTGATTATTTATAATCAGTGTTTGCTGTTATCTAAATAAAATTATATAGCTGATTATCTAGATGAAACTTTAGCGTCATCTTATCTTTATATAGATAATACAAATATTATTTTGACTAAATTATGTAGAATAATTTTCAGATAATTTTGGTTTAAAATCATAGCACATAAAAATACTTAAATAGTAGAACTTAAGAAGTAAGCGATAAAAATTCATAAAAAAAAATATAAATATACATATATTTTTATATCTTGTTTATAATTTATAATTTTTTATAACTGTGTTTACATAAGCATTTCTTCAAAATTATTATCTAGAAAATTATCTAGGAATATAATTTTATCTTTTATCTAGATTCTATATATTTAAAACAAAAAGATATATTTAAAACAAAAATCATCTTCATCTTATCTAAAATAAATTTACTTATTTTTATCTCATTTTTATTTGGCTAATTTTAAAATTATCTAAACACAACACTGTTTATAATAAAAGAGGGAGAGATAAGAAAAAAAAATCTAAATCAATTTCTCTGATTTAGTCGTTGAGTATATAACGCAAAATAAAATCTTTTTTTGTCTTTCCCAAGTCATATAGTCATATCTGGTAGATTTTTTAGCGCTGATACGAACCTGACTGTAAAAGTGACGTCTTTGAGAAAATCTCAATTAAAGTTGTTAAAATAAACATTTTTGATACTTTTTCATGAGTTATATTTTTTGATAGAAACGTGCTCCAGAAAACGTGACAGCTCAAAACTCAAGATTTATATTTTATGATAAAAATGCCACAAGTCTCAGACAAAAGGTTTCTTTGAAAAGTGGTCGAAATATAAGAAACATCATCACAATGTCTTTCAATCATATGTCTCCGTTAAAATTAAAAAATAACTTTTTAAATTACTCTAATCTTTCTAATAAAAGTTGGTATGTATCAATTTGCCTATAGTTATTTATCAAAAGTATATTACGCATTAAAAGTTTATAATTAAAAATGGACGATCTAAAATGATGAATCAAATTTTTGAAAAATCATTCAAATCATGGAAGTGGGTATGTGGGCTTTTGTAGTTGCTATTATTTGAGAATTTTTAGCACTGTCATAAAACTTATTATTGTCTGAAGATTCTTGTTGAGTAAAATAAATAAACACTGCGATAAATGATATTTCGATCACATATTTCAGGAAAACTTTTCCTGACTGTGACTTCTGGCATTTTTATTATAAACTCTTTTATTAGCTTCATTATAAGTCTTGAGTTTCATTTTAAACTGTTTTCTGGAGCACGTTTCAATCGAAAGATATAACTCGTACGAAAGTATCAAAAACGCTTATTTTAGCAACTTTTATTAGCTTTTTTTCAAAAATAAATAATAATCCTTTTTCAAAAACTTGACGTGATACGTGTGTGTACTATTTTTACGACCAGATTCGTAATCAGCGCTACGAAATCTACGGGAAATAATTTATAGATATATCAATCAAGACAAAGTACATTGCACTAATTTTATAATAATTAAAAATAAGTAAAATATATTTCGGTTAAATTAGCTGATTTTTTTATATGTTGCAGCTTATGACCCATTGAACTTATATTGGTGAATAATGTATTGGTTGAATTAGTATAATTGTCATATCTTCTTAGAATCCGATTTGTTCCAGACAGTATTCACTGCTATCTAAATAAAATTATTGATAATCATCTAGATAAAATTTTGGCGTCATTTTATCTTTATATAGACAATAAAAATATGTATTATTTATATCTGCATCTTAGATGAAAAGAGTGTTATCTTTATTAAATTATCTAGAATAATGTTCAGATAATTTAATTTAGAGTCATAGCATATAAAAATATTTAATTAATAGAACGTAAGCGATAAAACCCATAAATAAAAGTATGAATATATTTTTATATTTCTTTCATTTACATTTTTACGGTCTTAATAATAATATTATCTACATGAATTGCCATATAATTTTATCTTTTATCTAGATATATTTAATTTTTATTTCGCTCTTTTCAATATCTTTTATCTAGGTATATCTAACAAACATTATCTTATATCTTATTTAAGATAAATTTACATACTTTTATTGCATCTTTATCTAGTTAATTTTAGAATCATCTAATAAGCGCAACTCTGGACTTACAGATTCTATTTATACGGAGCGATTTATGGGACTACCGACTCCCGAGGACAATCTCGCTGGTTATAATCGTACGGATATCACGCGACAAGTAGAGGGAATGCGAGGCAAAAAATACATGCTAATACATGGCAGCGGCGACGACAACGTGCACTATCAGCAAGCGATGGCGCTCGCCAAGTCGCTGGAGTATAATGACATCATGTTCGAACAGATCACGTACACGGACGAGGCGCATAGTCTCGAGCACGTGTCCGCACATTTATATCACACGATGGACAAATTTTGGAACAATTGCTTTGGCTCGAGGCATGCTCGTTGACCTAAACTCTAGATTCTAGATTCACCAAAGAAGAGAATTATTCCCGGCGATAAATTCGAGATTCCATTGAATGCCGAATTTTTATAATTTATAAAAGACCAATGGCTGAAAATTTAGAATCTTTATTTAGACAATTATACGTATTCGATATATAAACAGTTTAATAGATAGCATACTTTTAGTAACGTTAATAATGTGAGAAGTTGTTATAATTTGATAGGTGTTTGATACACACTGCAATTATATTAGACGTATCGAACATTAGATCTCGATATAACTATTATCGATTGTACTATCGATATGGATGTAACGTCCATTTTTGTTCTTTCTTCCCTTGTGTCTTTTCTATTATTACGCATAGCCGTAAGCATTCATTAAAGTACAACATATATGTATTAAGTCATTGCGTTATTCATATACACCTATCCTTTGAGTTATATAGATAAAGGTAAAAGGTGTATTTTCTGCTAACAAGGTTATGGGCCCAGGACAGATTGTTGATCGCATTGACAAATTAAATGGTGCAAATTATCGGTCATGGAAATTTAACATGAAGATGACCCTGGTACAAAGAGAGTTGTGGCAGCATGTAACCGGCGAAGCCGCCTTGCCGGACGGCCACACGCAAGAAGATGGAGAACGTTTCCGGAATAAAGAAAATAAAGCTTTGGCGACAATTGCTCTCGGTGTCGAACCTGAACATCAAATACATATCCTGGACTGTAACAAGGCATCTGATGCATGGGAGGCATTACAAAGAATTTTTGAACCGAAATCTCGTGCAAGGATTCTACAACTAAAGAAGCAGATGTTGTCTATAAAACTGGAATCGACCGAGACGATGAATTCATATTTGGCAAGACTGAAGACATGTAGTGACAGTCTCAAAGAGGTAGGATATGAATTTAGAGATGATGATTTAGCATACGCTATGTTATCAGGTCTTCCGGATACATATGATGGAATAGTAATGGCGCTTGCAAATTTGGATGACGAAAAATTTAAATCGACCGAAATCAAAGAAATACTTATGAACGAATATGAACGTCGAGCACTGAAGGAAGGAGGACAGCCTGAGGAACCATCAAAAGAGGCATACCATCAAACAACTAGCAAGGAAACTAGTAAAGAAGAAAAAAGAAGGTGCTTTAGATGTAATAAAATAGGGCATTTAGCAAATAGTTGTAATGCAAAATTGTTTAATGCGAAAGGAACTAAAAAGCGTTACGGATCAAATACACATAAAAATAGTAATGTGTTATTATTAGAGTTAAATAATACTCAGCTAGATGATGCATGGTTGATAGATAGTGGAGCAACCCACCACGTATGTAAACATAGAGAATGGTTCGATAAATATAAAACAATAGCTAACGAAATAATTTATTCAGCAGACAGTAAAAATAGTGATACTCTGAAAGCTGTAGGTGTAGGTAATATAAAAATACGAACCTTTGTTGGTAATAAAAAATTCGATTTAACGCTACTAAATGTATATCACGTTCCAAATGTAAGACGTAACTTATTGTCAGTTTCTCAAATAGAAAAAAGATACAAAAGACTATTGATAGATAACGGAAAACTTAAGATTCAAGATAAAGAAAATAATATGATAGTGGGGGAAGCTCTATGCGAAAATGGTTTATATATTGTCAAAGCAAAAGTCATGAATGATATAAATAATGTGACTAAAAGCGAAGCGCATGTTACGTATACTAATAAGTTAACAGATTCTGTTAAGTGGCATCAAAGATTTTGTCATGTGAACATGAAAACTATTCATGAGCTATCAAAAGGAAATTTGGTTAGAGGTCTAGACAACGTAAATATAAATATAAACGATGCGCATTGTAGTAGTTGTAGCATTGCAAAATCAACAAAAGCACCTTGTAAAGAAGTAAGTCATAGACAAACAAAAAATGTATTAGAGCTCATTCATTCAGACTTATGTGGCCCTATGCCAATAAAATCAATTGGTGGAGCAAAATATTTTTTAACATTCACTGATGATTATTCCAGAAAAGCGACAGTATATTGCTTACAAACTAAGGATGAAGTAGTTGAATATATTCGTAAATATGTAGCTAGGGTAGAAAGAGAAACGGATAGAAAAATAAAAAGATTTAGAAGTGATAATGGATTAGAATATTGTAATAAGATTCTTGAACAAATGTTTGATGAAATGGGTATAAAACATGAACGAACAAATGTATATACACCACAAATGAATGGTGTTGCTGAACGATTCAATAGAACGTTATTAGATTTAGTACGAGCGATGCTTATAAATGCTGCATTACCTGAAAGATTTTGGGCCGAGGCCGTGGTAACCGCGTGTTATATTAAAAACAGAGTCATACATTCATTTGTTAATGATATTCCCGAAAGGATTTGGACAGGGAATAAACCAAGCGTGAAACACTTAAAAGTATATGGTTGCTTAGCCTATGCACATATAAATAAACAAGGTAGAAACAAGCTTAGTTCTAGAGGAAAAGAATGTATACTAATTGGCTATTCTAATCAAACAAAAGGATATAGACTGTGGGATCCAATTAAATGTGACGTAATACAAACAAAACATATAGAGTTCATTGAAAACGTTTGTGGGTATGAGCATATTTATAGTAAAAAGACATTGGAAACTCCGTTTACTAACACCGATAATGTAAATACTGTAGATGAAGATAAAGAATCAGTAACTAGTGAAACACAGGAAGAAAACGCGAATAAAAATACAGAATTTGTTAATTCGCATGAAACAATATCCGAAACAAAACGTAAAGTAGGTAGACCGAAGAAGGTAATTAAAAATCCTTGGGGTCGTGCAGGGAAACCTAAAAACGTAGAATTCAATTTAACAGAAATAATTGAACCGATAACATATGAAGAGGCGGAAATGTCACCACAATCGGAGGAATGGAAGTTAGCAATGGATGAAGAGTTAACAAGTTTGAATAATAGAAATACTTGGGAAATATTAAATAAACCGGAAAATGTTAATTGTATTGGAAGCAAATGGGTTTATAAAGTTAAAACAGATTCAACAGGAAAAATAGCAAGATATAAAGCTAGAGTAGTTGCACAGGGTTTTTCGCAAAAGAAAGACATTGATTATTCAGAATCATATGCACCCGTCGCAAATATTTCATTAATTAAATTATTAATATCTATGTCAGTATTACATGATTGGAAAATACATCATTTAGATGTGAAATGTGCATATCTCTACGGAAATCTTAAGGAAGAAATTTATATGAAATTGCCACCAGGACATAAAGACTATGAAATGAAAGTAGCAAAACTTTTAAGACCAATATACGGTTTGAAACAAGCAGGGCATAACTGGAATAATGCAATTAATGAATTCTTAATAAAACACGGATTTAAAAGATTGCAAGCAAGCAATTGCGTTTACGTTTATGATAATAATCTTATTCTTACATTGTACGTAGATGATATTATATTATTTGCTCCATCAATTGACAAAGTAAATGAAATTAAATCATTACTTGCGTCTAAATACGAAATAAGAGACTTAGGTAGAGCATCATACTTATTAGGTATAACTATTGAATACGAAGAAAATAAAATAAGACTATCGCAAGCGTTATATATAAACAAATTGTTAAGCGATTATGGAATGAATGATAGTAAAACATGTAAAACACCGATTGAACCAGGGATAAAATTATCGAAATGTGACGGTCCACAGAGCGATATTGAAAGGAGCGAAATGAATAATATCCCATATAAACAATTAATTGGTTCATTAATGTATGTAGCGTTAGCAACACGGCCAGATATATTATATGCAGTAACGAAATTATCACAATTTAGTTCTAACCCAGGAAGAACACATTGGTTACAAGCTAAAAGAGTATTAAGATACTTGGCTGCGACAAAAGACATTGGCCTAATGTATACTTCTGGTACAAATGAAATAGAAATTTTTAGTGACGCAGACTGGGCATCAGATATAGATGATAGACACTCTTATAGTGGTATGGTAGTATTTTTATACGGAAATCCAATAATATGGAAATCGAACAAACAAAAGTCAATTTCAACATCTACTATGGAAGCTGAATACGTTGCGTTAGAAATAGCTGTAAAAGAAGTTATATGGTTGGATATGATGTTCAATGAATTATCACAGACAATTGATTTAGACATACCATGTAAGCCATATGTCATTAGATGTGATAATAAATCGGCAATTGACTTTACAAGAAATAGAATAGAGAGATCACGCACGAAACATATCGATATTGCTTATCATATTACTAGAGAAATGCATGAAAACGGTTTAATTGAATTAAAATATATCTCATCTAATGACAACGTGGCAGACATCTTCACAAAGCCATTACCTCATACTGTAATAAATAAACATATTGAGAAGTTGGGATTACAACTAATTGCAGAGTGATCATAGTGGGGGATTTGATAGGTGTTTGATACACACTGCAATTATATTAGACGTATCGAACATTAGATCTCGATATAACTATTATCGATTGTACTATCGATATGGATGTAACGTCCATTTTTGTTCTTTCTTCCCTTGTGTCTTTTCTATTATTACGCATAGCCGTAAGCATTCATTAAAGTACAACATATATGTATTAAGTCATTGCGTTATTCATATACACCTATCCTTTGAGTTATATAGATAAAGGTAAAAGGTGTATTTTCTGCTAACATAATTTAAAACCCGGGAAACAATTTTTATATATAACAATATAAAAAATTATATAGAATATATAAAATTATATTTAAAATTATATATATATATATATATATATATATATATAATTATATTATATATATTACATATATAATTATATATATAAAAAGAATATATAAAATTATACATATAATCGCAAAATTATATATGAAATATATAATTAGATAAAAGTGTTTTTTTTTTTATATATGATTATATTCATATATATAATTTGACATGATTATATATGAATTTTTATATTTTATATAATTATATATAAAAATAGACATATTTTATATATAATTTTACGATTATATGTATAATTATACAATTATTTATATATAATTATATATAAAAATTTTTTTCCCGGGAAACGAATCTCTGTTTCAACGTAATTTGAAAATATCGATGGCAGCAATGAAAAATATAATAATATAGTACATTTTGTGAATATTTTATAATAATTTTTTTGTCTTATTGTTAGTTCGAAACATAAAATATAGAAACGTTTTAACAATGAAAAAATTAGTTTCATATTTACATAAATAAATTCGAAAAAATGTTATATCTAAATCAGGAGACGCGATAGCTATATATATATCTTTCTTTCATATTCAAATTTAAATAACCATTGATATAAAAGATGTTTTTCCTCTACAGGGTATCAAAA